CCAACAGATTACTGCCTATGTTTTCTTTTAGGAGTTTTAGGGTTTCAGGTATTAAGTTTAGGTCTTTAATGCATTTTGAGTTTTTTGTGTATGGTGTAGGAAAGTGGTCCAGTTTCATTCTTTTGTATGTAGCTGTCCAGTTTTCCCAGCACTATTTATTGAAGAGACTGTCTTTTCCCCATTTTGTCTCCTTTGTTGTGGATTAATTGACCATATAAACATGGGTTTATTTCTGGGTTCTTTATTACGTCCCATTTATCTATGTGTCTATTTTTGTGCATGTAGCATATTGTTTTAATTACTGTAGATTTGTAGTATTGTTTGAAATCATGATACTTCCAGCTTTGTTCTTTTTTCTCAAGATTGCTTTGGCTATTTGGGGTTTTTTGTGGTTCCATACACATTTTAGAATTATGTATTCTAGTTCTATGGAAAATACTGTTGGTATTTTGATAGGGATTGCATTGAATCTACAGATTGCTTTGAGCAGTATAGACATTTTAATAGTATTAATTCTTCCAATTCACGAACGTGGTATATCTTTCCAATTATGTGTGTCTTCAATTTCTTTCATCAGTGTCTTAAAGTTTTCAGAGTACAGGTCTTTCACCTCCTTTGTTAAATATATTCCTAGGTATTTTATTCCTTTTGATGCCATTGTAAATAGGATTATTTTCTTAATTTCTCTTTTTGCTACTTTGTTATTATTATAATGAAATGCAATAGATTTCTGTATATCAATTTTATATCTTGCAGCTAACATTTGTTGTTTGCCTACTGTCTTCTAAGCATTTTACACATGTACTAACTCATTGACTCCTGACAATAGCCCTGTGAAGTATGTATTGTTATAATCCCTGTTTTATGGGTAAAGAGTCTGAGGCACAGAGACATTACAAGTAGCTTGACCGATGTCTCAGAGTAGGCCCTCAGGAGCAGGACCTCCAGGTGGTCTGGCTCCGGAATATGTGCTCCTAAGTAACATGGTCATCCAAAGAGTACGCAGGAATTCTGCTGCTTCACATTTGCATGCCTTTGTACCACTTGTTTGCCCTTTTGCCTCTAATACTTTTTCTAAAAGACTCTGGTCAAGCAGAGGATGCTCCTTTGACATCTTCTCTGATTTCTGTTGCCTATCTCAGGGGGGCAGTCACTTTCCTTGGAGTTTGAATAGCACTCTGTCAAACTTTGTTAAACTACACAGTAGTGTATTTGTTGGAATATCTGATTCCTTGTGTTATGAGCTTCTGGAGAGCAGGGACTTTTTTTTATGGAAAATTTCAAATAGTTGCAAAAATAAAGCTAATAATAAAATGTATCTACATGTACTCATTGTGCAGCTCCAGCAATTATTTCATGGCCAGTATTGTTTCATTTATACTCCCCTCCTCAAACTGGGATATTTTGAAGCAAATTTCAGACATCAAATAATTTTATTAAGATTTCAATTATATTACTAAAATATAAGGTATCTTTACAAAAAACATAACCACGATACCATTATTGCACTAAAAATGAGTACTTCTTCAATATCATAAAATATTCACGTTCAGATTTCTGTAATTATCTCCTAATTTTCTCTCTCCCTTTCCTTCTCTTTCCTTCTGCTGTTTTTGTGCCTTTATTTCTTCCTTTGCCCACCCCCCTTTTTTTAAAGCAGAGTTGTTTGAATAAAAATCCAAATAAGGGCTTTAGTTTTTAATCTCCGTGTTCTCATTAGCACCTGGCTTAGTGCTTGACATATAGTAAATCCTCAATAAATGTTTACTGAATGAATGACTCATCAGAAATCTATGCACATAAGTAGAATTCGTGTAACCTTACTGCTGTAGTTGGTTGGTTTCTTGGGGTGGCTTTCGGTTTCTGGTCCCCTTAGTTAGGGACTGACTCAGATGCTTGCTGCTATCAGTGCTTGTGAATGTTGCTAAAGGTGTGAGGACAATCAGTGTATCTGTGACTCAGACATCTACAGGCTAGAAGGAAATGGGCCAGACTTTCTTGTCTGTTTTTTGTTCTTAGTCTCTTGGTATCTCACTTTGAGTTTGGACGGACCATGTTTGGCTTTTTTGCTATTTCTTCAGAACAGGGATCCTGAAGGAGCTCCTCAAGAGCATGAACAGAGCTCACATGGTCTGGGTTGTTCAGGGTCATGGGAATGGAGCGAACAAGGTATGGAGAGGTGTTAAAGAATCATCAGGCTTTGATGATGTATCGAATCTGGGAAATAAAAGAGCAAGGTCTGAGGAAATAGGGGTGGCGCAGAGAGAGGTGAGTGAGCTGTGGGGTTGGGAGGGGGAGACCCGGTTTAAATGAGGGGGAATTTCATAAGGAGTTTGGATGTTAGTGTCATGAGATCTGGGAAACAGCCCTCTCTAGTAGGGGCTAGAGAGACAGATGCATGAGCCATGTCTGGAGAGGTCCTCGAGGCTGTGGAAGAGGGTGGTGTGGAGGTGGACAGTTGGCGTCCCACTACTAGATCTGGTGTGGGGTGCAACGCACGGGTGGGGGGTGGGAGGAAGAGAATGCCCAAGAAGGAAAAGTTGTCTGTGATGCCTTAGGTGTTGTAGAAAAGTGGGTCTTAGACATTGTAGAAGTGAACAATGTGAGGACAGTGAAAAGTTGTCCAAGGATGGACACTGACTTCATGCTGCCTCTAGAGGTCTTGGGTGCAGAGGGGCCAGGAGAAACCAGATGATGGGGAAAGGGGAGTGCAGCACATGTTTCCATGGCTTGGAAGTGAAGGAAATGAGATAATAGGCTAACGCTTAGTGGGATTAGTAAATGAAGGGTATTCAGGTTAGGAGAGTTCTGACCTCCCAAGGGGGCAGAAAGAAGGAACTAGGGACTCTGGAGGTGCCTGTGTGCCTGGGCCTGTGGAGACTCTGTGAGTAAAAGCTGTATTCAGCTGCTTCTGATTCACCGGAGACACCTGTGCAGGAAGTGTTACTTGTCCCTAATAAAGAGGCCGGGAGATCTTTGACTCATGAAATCATCTTCTTACCCAGAAGAAAATAGGCAGTTTCTTCTAGGAAGGTTGAAGCTATGGCCTGTTGTTTCTAGATAGACTCACTTTGTTAGCAGGCATGCAAATGACGTGAGCTAATTTTCTGATCACTAGATCAAATATCTACAGACTTGGGCTTGCTCTGACTCAGCAATTTCTCTTTCTTCCTCCTGTAAAGAAGATATTATCTCAAGTAGTATCAACGGCAGCATGTTTTTGTCTAATTTATAATTTTTATTATAAATATAGAGCAAGTTTCACAAATAATTCAGAAGTGGCCCTAGCCAGGCAAAATTAAATAACACAGAGTAGCATAGATGAGGGGAAGTATAAATAGACTGTGTGAGGGTTAGAAAACCCTTGAAAGAGGTACCTGAGTACAGAGAATTCCCAACTAGCCCTCTTTGAGGGGCATCTTAGACACAGCATGACATCAAGTAATCAATACAGAATAAAAGCCTTTTCTCAACAGCCCCAAAGAGACTCCCGTCTGCTTAGAGGGAGGCTGGATGGGAAGTGCATTGACTCTCCTCCGGCTCTTCTTTTCTGTTCTGCACACTGGGACTTGACCCCATGGGAGAAAACATTTCAGAGGCTGTTCAACAAGCCTCTGGCCCAGTTATCACCCTCCCGTCCTAACCTCTCACAGCCCGGGTTCCCAGGAGCATCAGCACAAGTGCAGCTTTCCAGGGTGTAAACAATGCCAGCAGGGGCTTGAGTGTGTTCCCTTCAGGGCATCCCCACTTGTCAAGGACCAAACGCACCTTAGCAGAGGCTGGGTCTCCTGAGAAAGTGAGTGGGACAGACACCACGCACAGCAGAGACCCCCGTGGAATGGAATGGTGGTTGAAGACTGGCCTGAGATGCTGGGAAACTGAGTTAGACCCATCTAGCCACAAAAGAGGCCACAAAAGAGCCCCAGACATAAATGCCTTGAGCAACTCCTGGCCAAGGGGACTTGTGGGTTTGGCGGCTTCTTTCCCCTAAGGCAGGCAGATTGGCTTATATAGATAAGCTAAGTAAAAATAGCCCCTTTCACATAAACTAGCAGATGCAAAAACTAAAATGGCAGAATGTCTCAGAGAAAAGGGAAAAAAACCCCAATATGCCAAATTGGGCATTCTTTAACAATTATTTAAATAATCTCTGAAGGGTGGCTCCTCTGACTCCTCTCCCAAATTCCCAGCTGATTGTCTGTTAAGAGGCGAATGTTCTCTGAAGCTATAAGCCCTCCTTCTGTGAATATTTCCTTGAATAAAGCCCATAAAGTTGTGAAACATATTGCATTTGTGGGGCATTTTCATTAGGAATCGCCTGTGGACCTTGGCAAATAATTTCCCTAATTGCTTCCAGTGGGTTCTCTGAAAACAGGCTTGCCAAATGGCTTTGGTGGCATTCTAGTCAAGCAGCAAGGTGTTTAGGCCCTGGTAGACAACTCTGATAGTAGACAAAGGTGGAGAATTTGCCAGTTCAGCATTGGTTATATATTCGTTTGCCCGTGTATGGTGGGTTCACACTGGGCTTTGGGGAGATAGAAGCTTTTACTTTTACTTCTTTCCTCTCTTCTTTTCTGGCACATGCATTTCAGTGGATCAGGACATAATTCACAAGGTTACGGCAAATTCAACTTAGACTCCAATAGGACAGGACTGGGGTGGGAAGGAATGACTGTGCCCTGAATAAGTAAGTTTAAAACAAGTTTAGGTCAGGAAAACTTGGGAGGGGCAAAAGTTCTGGCAACCGCCCAAGATCTGCTTTGCCAAATTTCAATGACTGGGAAGGCTGGGTTTCCTAGGAATCCCGGATGTACCTTTTCGTCTGTTGACACTGAAGGGAGGGGCTGTAACCAGGCAGCCTGCAGGTGCCTCAGTTAGGGAGTGAAGTGGGGAAAGAGGCTTCGTCTCCTTTTCCCTGAGGGGAAAAGGGTCTGTCTCCTAGTGATGGGGATGAGGAACTTGGGAAGGAGTCAGCAGCGCAGAGAGCAGGACAGAAGGTATTACTTCTTTTGGACTTCTGAATACACTGTTTCTGTGGCTGTTAGGGGTGGGGAGGCTGACGCTGATTTCTTTGGTGCCTGGACATTGAAGTTCAGGGAAGAATATGCAACTTCATCAGTCTGAAAGGCATGAACAGTGTGGTCAGTTCAATCAGTGTCATAGGTCAGGCTCTCACCTTGTGTCGTGTGATTGAGCACCACGTGCTATCACCACTTTGAAACCTTTAGTTTTGGAGAAGGGCTTTTATTACCCATTACTACTCTGCTTGCTAACATCCTGTGGAGTGATCATTAGAAGAGGTAGATTATAATATTCATAGTGAGATGCGATGATACAGCAAAGAGAATGGACAAGCTACAAATGCATAAAAGGATATGGATGAATCTCACAAAACAATTTTGAATGAAAGAAGCTAGACACATACAAGGATATACTGTGTTGTTCATTATGTAAGAGCATAAACAGACAAAAGTAATCCAGTGCACTGGAAGTGAGGATAGTGGTTACTTTCTGGAAGAAGTCCAGAGCTGGAGGGTGTTTGGGGGGGTAGGGATGGTTTGTTTCTTGATCTGGGTGCTGCTTGTGTTCAACTCATGAAAATTTACACATGGTTAAAATGCATTTATGATTTAAGCACCTTTTGATATATGTGTATATTCTACTGAAGGGTTAAGATGAGAAAAATGTGGTAAAATTATTATAAAGTAAAGAACCAAGACCTCAGACCCACCAGAATGGACACTGTACTTTGTTGGTAAGAGCAGGGTCAGTGGAGGTAGAGGAGGCAGAACGGCTTAGGGACTTATGCTGGGCATTGTGCTGGGTGCTTTCCATTTGCCATCTCATTTAATTCCTTCAACTTCTCTTTGAAGTAGGCAGCATGCCCATTTTACAGATGACAAAGCCAAGGCTCAAAGAGCTTAACTTACTTGTCCAAGGTCACAGAGTTACTGAGAGTCAGAGCCAGGATTTAAACAGAGGATGAGGTTAATTCCAAAGTCCACGTTCTGGCAATGAGGTAGACTCAAGGGAATAATTAACCAGTACTCCTTTGTTTGTTACCGTTTTGAGGAATTTTGACCCAAACTTGATCTCACATTTGTGTTTTCAAGAATAACCCATTCTAGGGGCACCTGGGTAGCTCATTCGTTTAAGTGTCCGACTCTTGATTTTGAGTCAGGTCATGATCTCACGTCACGGGTTCGTCAGGCTCTATGCTGACAGCGAGGAGCCTGTTTAGGATTTTCTCTCTCTGCCTCTGTCTTTGCTCCTTCCTTACTTGTGCAGGCAAGTGCACGCACGTGCACACACACTCTGTCTCTCTCTCTCTTAAAAATAAATGAACATTACAAAAAATAACCTATCCTACACAGAGATATTTCCATGAGAAAATGAGCCAGTGAAACTGGCTGTGCTTACCTTGTTATGCACATTGTCAGAGTGGTCCTGACCTGGGGAAGCAAAGGAAGAGTTATCAATCCATGAAAATGCAAAGCTGATTTATGGCCTTGGAACAGGGGTTGGAAGGTGGAGATGTGTGTGGGGTTCCTAAGCTCTCATGATTTCTAGCTGAAGGAGCTGGCAGGTGGGAGCAGGGTAGGGTAAGGAGGTAGCCTATGATGGCTTGAGGAATTCACTTCCTCAGTGTCTGTGGTCCACACCCAGGGCATTAGTACCAGAGGGGGGGCAAGAGTAGAGCCCAGAAGGCCTTAGTCCACTTCTGAAAATTTCTTCCAGTTCACAAGGCCTTGATTTTTTGCCCAGATGTATTTCTCAGCAACAAGCTTCAGTGGCAAGGAGGGACGTCGAGGCCCACAGTACCCAGAGCACCACAAGACAGGGAGAGTCTCACCAGAGGAGAATGCCCACATCCATCATAGAGGCAGGAGGGGGAGGACTATGGGTGAGGAAATGGCTCCTGGGAACATGTCCATCTTATGCAGGCCTGCCTGGCCCGGGTGGAGTGAGCGTCTCTCCCAGGGCTGTGTCTCAGGGGAATCTTTTGTGGCTAGAAGGGTATGAGGACCTATGCCAACCTCAGGTTGGGAAATGGAAATCCCTTCTAAAAATTCAGAAGGTACTGAGTAGTTCGGGAATCCAGGATTCACTGATGGGGCAGGGCACGTGGTGGAACATGTCAGGTCTCACTGGGTGAGTGGCTTTACTTACTGTGGTTGGAGGCTGAGGGTTTGTGCTCTGTGAGATCACGCAGGTCACTTGTCCTAAATAAATATCAGACAGTGTGACTGCTATTCCCAAGCATAGGATCTTTGCTCCTTGAATTAGGAAGGACATCATCAGCAGGTAATTCCTTGGGGCTCCTCAGTGTTCATTTATACCTGGATTATACTGCCTTCCCTCTTAGGGCCTCTTTCTTGTGTACCCACGGTCTCCTCTAGGCTTTACTCCTGTCCTGTTTGCTGGATGTGCACATTTAGGTCCATTCTTTATCAACTGCATATGAGCCTATCTGTACGCTGACACCTTTCCTCTTTTGTAGGCAGATGCTGTTTTCTGTCTCATTTCACTTGTTGCCCAAAGAGGCCTTTGGCTGTTTGTACCTCTTCTTAGCTTGTCCTCCTGTCCTATCCCTCCCTCCTACTACTGTCAACAGAGCATGTGACTCCCGTTCTCCTGTTCCTCCTTTCATTTTCTCATTTGTTTCCTTCTTGGGCCTTGGCTTCCCTGACTGGGAGACAGAAGTATAATGGGATCTGCCCCCTCTAAACAAGATGGGGATGGGAATTACCATGTCCGAGAGAGAGTGGGGTGCAGGAAGCATGGAGAAGAGATCCACAGGAATTAGTGCCCAGAAGCAGGGGTTTAGAAAGGAGGAGGAGTAGATCCAGGCCCAGAGACAGAGGTGAAGTCTCCTTCCCTCTCCCAAGCATGGCAGTTAGCCTTGGAGAAAACAGAACAATGGGGAAGGGCCATCATACCCGCCAGACTTTCTGTTACACAGAAAGTACAGCAGGGCTGCTATGAGAGCAACCCCGGCCAGGACTCCGATCACGATGCCGGCAATAGCCCCAGCGGAGAGGCCAGAACTTTGTTGTGTGAAATCATCTGTCAGGGAAAGAAGAGAGAAGAATGAATGAGGGTGACATTATTTGACAGTGCGGGTCCCCCAGGGGACAACTCTTAACATGTAGTGGTCTCCACTCGTTCCTTCAAGGAATACATTTTCTGTGGGAAGTTTGCTGTGAGGTGATTAGCTGACTTCATCCGTCATTTTTTTTTTCTCTCACTGTATTCTAGGCTGGTGATGAGGCTTGCCTCAATTCCATCCTGGCCTTTCTGCACTCAGATATTGTGAAGGCTTTGGAAATGTGAGAAAGATTGGTTGCTATTTTTGTATAACTTCCCATCTTTTCATGGTCGCACATTTTTCTGTGTTCAGGTGTGGCACCAGACTCCACCCACTCCTGCTTACTTTCCCTCACAGGCATGTTTCCCCAATAAATAAGTAAATATTTTTCTCAATAAATATAAATAAATAAGTAATCCCACTTTAGCTGCATCTCAGGGGATAAAAACTAACATAACAGGCTTGAAACTTTGCACTCAACTCCTTTTTTTCCTTTTCCATGTTCAGTCAGTAACTATGTCCCAGTGGCTTTTTTGCATAATGCTTTCCATACCCATATATAGTACTGTTCACATCTGTTTCTTCTTTTTTATTTCTGTTGTCCTTACCAGTCAACTCAAGCCTGTATATAAATGTTAGCTACTGTTATGGGGTACTTACTATGTGCTAGGCTCTGTGGTAAGTACTTTACTATTGACTCATTTGATTCATATAATAACCCTTTCAGATAGACACTATTTCCATTTTGCAGATTAAAAACATTGAGGCTGAGAGTAGTGAATAATTTATCCAAAGTCATATGGCCAGTAAAAGATGGATCTGGGATTTGACTTTAGGACTACCTGACTTTGTAGAAGCTAATGATAATAGTAGTAATAATGGCAGCTAACACTTATGGAACATTTCCTCTGGGCATAGCATTTTTGCTAAGGGTTTAATTGTTACATTAAATCTTTAAAACAATACCATGAAGCAAGTACTCTTATTACCACTTTCAGTTGAGGAACATTAGGCTCAGAGAAATTAAGAATCTTGTGCAAGAAATTTGTAATTGCAAATACTTACATTAAAAAAAGAAGACCTCAAATCAATAACCTAACTGTACAGTGTAAGAAACTGGAAAAAGAAAAACAAACTAAACCCAAAGCTAGCAGAAGGAAGGGAATAATAAGGATTAGAATGAGGAAAATAAAATAGTAGAAAAACAATAGAGAGAATCTATGAAACCAAAAATTGTCTCTTCAAAAAAGATTAACAAAATTGACAAGCCTTTAACTAGATTGACTTTAAAAGAAAAAGAAGATTTAAATTACTAAAATCAGAATTGAAAGTTGGGGGGAGAAAAGAAAGTGCGGGAAATTACTGTCAATTTTATAGAAATAATAAGTATTATAAAATAATAAATATTATAGGTACTATGAATAATTGTATGCCAACAAATTAGATAACCTGGATGAAATGGACAAATTCCTGGAAACACAAAATTGACCAAGATAGAATCATGAAGAAATAGAAGAGCTGAATAGATCTATAACTAGTAAGGAGATTGAATTAGTAAAAGCATTCAGCCAAAGATGTTGACATCTTTTCATGATAAAAACCCTCAAACTAGGAATAGAAGGAAACTTTCTCAATATGGTAACGGCCACATATGAAAAACCCACAGCCAACATCTTCCTCAATGGTGAAAGACATTGAGTAAGATGTTTTTCCTCTAAGACTAGGAACAAGACAGGGATGCCTGCTTTTGTCACTTTTATCCAAAATAGCATTGAAAGTCCTAGCCAGAGCAATAGTTAGGCAAAAAAAAAAAAAAAAAAAAAAAAAAAAAAAAAAAAAAGTGTCCAAATTGGAAAGAAAGAAAATGATCTTTGTTCACAGAGGACATGAACATAGAAAACACTAAAGATTCCACAAAAAAAAGCTGTTATAACTAATAAATACAGCAAAGTTGCAAGATACTAAATCAACACACAAAAATCAGTTGTATTCCTATATACTAACAATGAATAATCCAAAAAGGATATTAAGATAATTCTATTTACCACAGCATCGAAAAGAATAAAATACTAGGAATTAATTTAACCAAGGAGGTGAGAGACTCATACACTGAAAAACTACAAAACATTGCTGAAAGAAATTAGAGACATAAATAAATGGAAAGACATTTCATGTTCATGGATTGGAAGACTTAATATTATTAAGATGACAGTACTACTCAAAGTGACTACAGATTCAATGCAATCCTGATAAAAAATCCCAGTGACATTTTTTTTGCATAAATAGAAAAATCTATCATAAAATTCATACGGAATTTCAAAGGACCCCAAATATCCAAAACAATCTTGAGAAAGAACAAAGCTGGAGGACTCATATTTCCCAATTTTCAAGTTACCACAAAGCTTACAAAGCTACAGTAATAAAAACAGTGTGGTACTAGCATAAAGACAAACAAATAGACCAATAATACAGAATAGAAATTTTATTTTATTTTATTTTTTTTTTTTTTCAACGTTTTATTTATTTTTTTGGGACAGAGAGAGACAGAGCATGAACGGGGGAGGGGCAGAGAGAGAGGGAGACACAGAATCGGAAACAGGCTCCAGGCTCTGAGCCATCAGCCCAGAGCCTGACGCGGGGCTCGAACTCACGGACCGCGAGATCGTGACCTGGCTGAAGTCGGACGCTTAACCGACTGCGCCACCCAGGCGCCCCCAGAATAGAAATTTTAGAGATAAACCCTTATATACATGGTCACAGGATTTTTGACAGGAGTGCCAAGACCGTTCAATGGAGAAAAGACAGTCTTTTCAGCAAATGGGTGTTGGGAAAACTAGATGTCCATGCAAAAGAATTGAACCCCAACTTAATATCATATATGAAAAATTAACTCAAAGACCTAAATGTAAGAGTTAGAACTATAAAAACTCTTAGAAGAAAACACAGGGTGAAAGCTACATGACTCTGGATTTGGCAATGACATCTTGGATATGACACTAAAAGCACAGGCCACAAAAGAAAAAATAAGTGAACTGGACTTCAATTAAAATTAAAACCTTTTATGTATCAAAGGACACTATCAACAAAGTGAAAAGACAACCCCCTGAGTGGGGGAAGATATTTATAAATCATGTAGGCCATAAGGGGTTAATATCCATAATAGAGAACTACAACTCAATAACAACAAAAAACCTACTCAAAAAATGGGCAGAGGATGGGGCACCTGGGTGGCTCAGTTGGTTGAGTGTCTGACTTCAGCTCAGGTCATGATCTTGTGGTTCATGAGCTCAAGCCCCATATCAGGCTCACTGCTGTCAGCCTGTCAGTGTAAAGCCTCCTTCAGATCCTCTGTCCCCCTCTCTACCCCCCGCCCCAACTCGCGCTCTCCCCAAAAATAAATAAATATTTAAAAAATGGTCAGAGGACTTGAACAGACATTTCTCTAAAGAAGACACCCAGATAGACAACAGGCACATGAAAAGATGCTCAACATCACTCATCATGAGGGAAATACGTATCAAAACCACAATGAGATACCACCCCATGCCCATTAGAATGGCTATTATTTAAAACAAAACAAAACAAAACAGAAAACAAGTGTTGACAAGGTGTGTAGAAACTGGAACTTCTTTGCATTCTTTGTGAAATGGTGCAGTCACTGTGGAAAATGGAATGGCAGTTCATCAAAAAATTGAACAAGGAATTACCATTTGATGCAGCACCTCCACTTCTGGGTATATATGCCAAAGAAATGAAAGCAGGGATTCGAACAGATATTTGTATACCCATGTTCATAGAAGCATTATTTATAACAGCCAAAAAGTGGAAAAATGCAAAAGTTCACAGGCAGATAAATCATAGACAAAATGTGATACATACATACAAGGGAATATTATTCAGCCTTAAAGAAGGAAAGAAATTCTGATATGTGCTATAAAACGGATGAACCCTGAAGACATTATGCTAAGTGAAAAAAGCCAGACACACAAAAAACAAATATTGTTATGATTACATTTATACAAGGTACTTAGAATAGTCGTATTCATAGAGACAGAAAGTAGGATATAGTGGTTACTGGGGTTAAGGTCAGGCATGGGACATTATTGTTTAATGGGAACAGTTTTCACATGGGAAGATAAACAGTTTTGGAAATGGGTAGTAGTAATGGTTGTACAATATGAATGTCCTAATGCCACTGAACTGTATGCTTAAAATTGTTAAATGGTAAACCTTACGTATATTTTGCCACACACACACACACACAAATGGTAACAGAGGGGAAGAAAGAATCTTGTGCAAGGTCACAAGAGTAAATGCCAGACCCAGGATAAGAAACTAAGTATATTTGATTCAGACACTTAGCTTTTAACCACTTTGCCATTCTGTTTACTGAAATGGTCTCTTGATTGCTATTCTGCCCCCTGTGACTTCTATCCACTTTGCACATCATTGGTGAGGATTCTTCCCAGGAAGATGGAACACGGTGTTACTTACATTCACCTTACGGATGTAAGGTGTCACTTACATTCCACATTCAGCTTGACGAGGTCACTTTTGCTGGAACTGACTGGGTTGGAGACCTCACACTGATAATCCCCGGCATCTTCCCTCCTGACAGGGTCTATGGTGAGGGTGCTGTTGTCTGGGGACAGCTTCATCCTCTCCGTGAGCTTTAGACTCTGGTTATTGAAGAACCACCAGATGGAGACCCCTGTGTTATTTGTAGAGCAGGTCAGGACCACAGAGTCCTTATGTTCTGTGGCTGTGGTGTTGCTGATGTTGATGGAGGGCTGGGACACTGGCTCTGTGGAGAAACAGAGGAGGTGACAGAATGAGAGGGGGCCTGGGGCCATGCTCCTTCTTCCAAGATCTCGGCCACTCCGAGGGCCCCACTGGGCTCTGTAAAGGTGCCCCAGAGGATGGCCCTGATGTCTGCAGAAGAATGAGTGTCTTTGTTCAGGTGGTGATCTATAAGGAGGGGGCTGTGCCTCCCCGTCTGACCTTCAGGTCCCCCTCTGGCCCTCAGTCATCTGTCTGGTCTGCCTGGACATCAGCACCTCACACCTCTTAGCCCATGTCCAGCATCCCCATCAGCAGGTGGAATTTTTTACCCAGTGGCTTTTTTGTGACCCTTTCTAGAGTTTTCTGAAAAGATCAGGCACCTTTTTTAGTATGGGAGCTTTACATAGAAAGGGAAGATATTTCCCTTTTGTTAAATAATTAATTAGAAAATGAGAACAGCCTAGCCAGTCTTTGTGAGCTTAGGACCTGGAAAAGTTCCAACCTAAAGGATTTCTCAGTCTGAATAAGATTTTTACTTCCTGGCCTGTGGGTTGAATATTACAGGGAGGAGACGTTTAGAGTAATGGTTACATTTTAACAAAAGGCTGGTACTCTTAGCTGTATGTATAAAGATCTACTTTTGCACTGTTCCTTCTGTCCCGTGTAGGGACTTCATCCACCTACTTTTCAATTATGCACCATTATTCACTGTCCTCCTTTGGTGTATCATACGTGCTGGTGTCACCCAGTGTTATGTAGCTGATAGACTTCAGAACCAGGACACAGCCCAGAGGCGTCTGCACCAAGGCTCGCTCTGTCTCATTTCCCTGCAGCCTCACCTGAGGGAGGTTCTGGAGCAATTGGTGGCACAGTTTGGCCAGACTGCAGAGAGGCTTCTCATGTACCTACCTTCTCCTGTCCCACCACAGATGACATTACAGCAGAGTCAGTCATTGGACGAGCCAGTAGCAAAAAGAACCCTCCTTCTCCCTCTGGAAAGCCCCCTCCACTACATGGGGCTGAGAGAACCCTATTCCCACATACCAGGCTGGACTCAAAATCTGCCATGAGAAACCAGAGAGCAAGGGGAGGAAGCATCTGCAGACGTGATGGGAGAGTTCAGGGACAGATCTGTGTCGCAAGCAAATGCAAATTAACTTCTTCTAGGCTCTTTTCTGAAAACCAGACAGATCTCCACCACAGTGCTTGATGCAAATGCTCCCCAGGGATCCACTTACCAGAGACTGTGATAGTCTTGACTGTGGTCTTACTGAGGCGAGTGCCAGGGTTATAGGCGAGGCAGGTATAGGATCCACTATCATTCACAGTGATGTTAGGGATAAAGAGCTCCTGTGAGGATGGCTGGGGGCTCCCATTGATAAGCCAAGAATACTGTGCAGGCGGGTTAGAGGCTGAGTGGCAGGAGAGACTGAGGTTTGCCCCTGGACGGTAATAGGAGTCTGAGGGGAAAATGGTGGGGGCATCCGGGCCATCTGGAGCAAACAGAATAAAGCCACACGTGATGTAATCCAAGGGAAGGGGAAGATCCTCGTCTGTATAATGTCCACAGTATCCCTCTGAGCTAGGTCTTAACCCTGTTTTAGAAAGTCCCAACCAGGGCACCTGGGTGGCTCAGTCAGTTAAGCATCCTACTCTTGGTTTCAGCTCAGGTCATGATCTCATGGTTTGTGGGATGGAGCCCCATGTCAGGGCTCCGTGCTGTTAGGGTGGGGCCTGCTTGGGATTCTCTCTCCTTCTCCCTCTGACCCTACCTCACTAATGCTCATGTACTCTCTCTCAAAATAAATAAAAATTTAAAAATAAATAAATAGTCCCAACCATAAGCCCCCTGTGTTCACTGAGCCCGAGTCTGAGATATTAACTTGTTTCCCCCTCATAGGCTATCGACCCTCCCAGGGAGGAGCAGCCTGTTCCCTCCTAGTCTTGGCTTAGGCTGGGCCTTCCCAGGTTTGCCTGAGATAAGAAGCCATGGCCAGCCTGGGTGTCTAGGTGAGAGTCAGGTACTCAGACCCCAGAAGGACAGATGTGGCCTGACCTCTGGCAGCGTGGATTTGGGCTGGCAGCCTGGGCCATGTAGGAATACAAGTTACTCACAGAGAACATTCAGGGTGAATGGGTCACTATGACCGGCACTGACTGGGTTCCAGGTTTCACACTCATAAGGTCCTGTGTCATTCCTTGTGACACCATGTAAAGTGAGAGTCCTGTTGTCCAGGGACAGCTCCAGCCTGGTGCTGTCCGGGAGGCTCTTACTGTTTACTGACCACAGGTAGCTTGTGTTCTGAGTCTGAGGTTCACACGTTAATACTACAGAATCCACGTTCTCCACGGGGTCCGAGTTGTTGCTTGTGATGTTGGGTTTGGGTAACTCCGCTGTGTAGACAACAGAGAGAACATTGCCCTGTGTGGTACCTGTGATTCCTCCAAAGGCATCTTCAATCAGAGCTGCCTTCTCTCATCTGTCTGCCAACACGAGTCCTTAAGAATAAAGCAGATCTGTGTATCTCAAGACAAATGCAAGAAGATGTGAGGGCTCAGAGAACATAGGGCCCCTGCTCTCTGTCTGAGAGCAAGGACAGACTTTCTCAGGGTTTGGTTGTGGAAGACACAGGATAGGGAGTCAGAGACCACCCCAGATCTCTCCTGGTTCTTCCCTAACCAGTGGACTGTCTGACCAACCTCAGAGGCCTCACCTGGAAAGTACAGGTGCTGAGGCCCTTTCTACTGCACAGACCCACACCAACCAACCTACGTGTGTTTTCCACAAGGCCGTGCTTTCCACGGTTATCCTGGAGATGGGTAATTATGGGCCTTCCCAGAATTTGAAACCCTGGAGAACACTGGGCAGCGTGGCCTGGAACAGGGTATTTGAGAAGAGTAACACCCAGGGACACCAGGGGCAAGCCTGGAGGTCAGCCCAGTACTCAGGCTGCAGGGCCACAAAGTTAGGCAGTCCTGCTGAAGTGCTCCATGGTGACTGGCATGAGACAGTGACTCCACACAGGGTAGAGCAGAGTCAAGACTAGAAATGACCCAGAAAAGAGTAAGGGGGGACAGACAGGACCTGGCTGGCTTTGGCAGAGAACTATGTGCTCTGCCCTCGGTCTTTAAAGTCTTTTTTTCCCACTGCAGAGGGCAGTGAGGACCATATTGGTCTTTCCTGAAATATAAGTGGATGTTTTCGAATGCAGAAGGGGTGAATGGTAGGAGATGGTGGGGTGGAGGTGGGGGTATTTGGCCCCATGGACCATTTGTAAACACAGTTATGAGATGGAAAATTGAGACGTTAAATTGTTTTCATATATGAAAATCACTGTTAATACCCGAAAAATCTAAGACCAGTTTCTCTAGGAATATCTCTCTAGAGAGCACGTATGTTGTAGACCAAGTTCTGCAGTCAGTCAGGGTCACATCATGATCAAAGGAAGATGTTCTAGTGGGTTCAAAATCAGTGACTCCCTGGGTAGAGAAAGACATGTGAGTCCTGGTAAGAAACAGAATTGATTGGGGCACAGTCTGCGGTGTCTCTCTTATATAAAGGGAGGGATGATACGAAATTAGTAGAAATGATATGTGTTACGTTAGTAAATTTAGGAAAGAGGTCCTTGCCACCAATTTCTATGGACAGTCAGGAAAAATGGAAAGAAACCCATACTTGCATGTGGCTTTCTTTTGATCTCAGGAAACATAAGTTTGATCAAATTTATCCAAATTGGGCAGCATCCAAGTGAAAGGACAGTGACTGGTAGGTCTCACTGTGTGAGAGGGTCCCACCCTACGGCAGAAGTGTCACGTGAGCACCCAGGTGCATGTGAAATAGGCAGGAAACTAGTCAGATGGCACAGGGTCTGGCCAGCCCCACCTGGGAAGAAGCACTGGGAGGAACGGGAGCCTCACCAGGATGAAGATGTGAGTCAGGAGTAAAGAGTGTGAAATGAGCCCATGAGCTGGGGACTGCAGACCTGCCCTTCTGTCTTTGACTTCCTGGTTGAGTCATGTAGAAGAAAGTAGATCAAGGGGTCACACATCCCTGACATGTGGTGTGTTCCACTTGTTGGCATCATGGAGAGAAAGAGAGCTGGATGAGGGAACGGTGAAAGCTCGTTTCTCCTGGCGACCAGGCTGCTGTTCTGACTGATTTCTGCATCCCTTACTGTTGCCTGGGAGGGTGGGCCTGGGCACAGGTGTTAGCAGAAGAATCCAGGGAAGGCTTAAGAGTAAAGGAAGTTATGCAGATCAGGGGGAGTCCCAGCTGAAAGGAGGAAGAGAAAGAAGATGAGGGACATAGAAGGAACAGAGAACCAGAAATATCCAAGGCTGTGAGCAGTGGGGGTTACAAGTGACTTCAAAGACTCCAGGCACTGAGAGTCCACAGCTGACCCAAGGGCATGACCAGCACATCCCTGCAAACACTCCCATGGCTGAGCAACACCAAAGACTCTTCTCTGGGAGTGGCCCGAGGGGCTGGTGGTCAGAGGGATAGAACATGGGTCTCAGCCCCTGGAGGGACAGGGAATAGAACCTGTCCAGAACCTCCTAGGACTCTGCATCCAGGCTCCAGACTCTGAAGAGACTAATCATTCCTTCCTTCCTTCCTTCCTTCCTTCCTTCCTTCCTTCCTTCCTTCCTTCCTTCCTTCCTTTCCTCCCTTCCTCCCTCCCTCCCTCCCTCCCTTCCTCCCTTCCTTCCTTCCTTCCTGAAACAGCAATGGAGTTCTTGGGCCTGTACCAATTAGGGGTATACAGTAGGAGGAGAAGGCAGAGTCCTTTCCCTCACACTCCAATGGGAGTGACATCAACATAACAGGAAACAAATAAGTGATTCGAAGTCCAAAGTAGGGAGCTGTGGATTGGCCACCTGAGGGGAGGCCTGGGCATTCCCAGCACTGACTCTGATTGTTGATGAAGGTAATTTAGTTCTTGAGTAAAAACAGATTAATTCCTCATTTGCTCTCACTTCCCAGACCAGAAAATCTACTTTGAACTGTGGATCCCTAAGAAAGGTCTGATCCAATAGCTGGTCTCAGGGTCCACAGATGCCTAATAAGGCCCCCTGGGTGGATAAGTCCAGGCTGTGGCTGCAGACAGACCTCATAGGATTGTGATCTGCCTGCCGCTCATGGTCTGTGTAACTCTGATTCAATGTCTGCATCACCCCATGCCTCAGTTTCCCCTCAATAAAGTCAAGTAAATGGTCTCAGGCTTGCCATGTTGTCTGTAATTAACCTTAAATATTTCACACTTACCTGGCCTAAGGCTTGGTATAGAGGAGCTTCCCAAATAAACATTTATTATTATTTGCCTTTATGAGAGACAGCTCCTGGGCCTGATCCCTGGTGCAGGAGGAGCACCCAGGAGCATCTTCTCTCCTCTGTTCCTCCCTGGGGGTGCTGACCTTCCTCTGGAGTCTCCTACAGCTCCAGGGCAGTCAGACAATGGCCTAGGGACCTTGCCTACCTCTGCTCTCCACCCCAACTCTCAGGTGAAAGACCAGGCTCTACCCCTCCCCAGATGTGGCTCTTGGGACTGAGCCCTGGCTGGTGACCAGCTCAGGAACCTCAGGACTCAGGCAGCAGGAAATCATTGCTCCCAGTCAGCCCTGCCAGGAAGCCAAAACCCAACCTTGGCACGGACTCCCCATGATCATTGCAATCAGGAGCCCTGAGACAGGGGTCTGGGCAGGGGCTTTCTGAGCTGAGCTTCTCTATGAGGAACCCAGGAGGCCCCTCAGGCCTGGCCCGGACTGAGCCCTGCAGGGTCTTTCTCAGAGGCATGATCACAGGGAGGAGCCCAAGGGGTTGGACTGAATCAGTCTGCCTCTGCTGAGTTACTCCCATCAGACTGGTCCTTCTTTTTGCAGTGAATGTCTGCTAGGGGTGGAATCCAGGAAGGAATTCCGATCTTATGAAGTTTGTGTCCACTGTGTATGTCCTGCACTAAATGCTCAAACCCACATGGGACACAGTGCAGAAGGGAAGGGAGGCACGGTCCAGGCCTGTCAATCCTGTGTGTACGAGGTAGAATTCACTCCACCCGACATCAGAGGTGACAGGAATTACTCACGATATACACGGAGCTGTCCAGTTACTTTTTCAACCTGAACATTCCTCTTTATGATTTGTAGGGTGTAGTATCCTGTGTCCTCCAGGTTGATGTTCTGGAACAGCAGGGATCCGTTGTGATATAATGTCTCTCTGCCGCTGTGTGCAAATCCTGGGGTAAGTTCTTGTGAGTCTGCTGCATATGATACAATTTCACTACGGGGATCTATAGTTGTCCCTTTGAACCAGCCAAAGCCTATAAGATTGGCAGGCAGATTGTGGACACGCAGAAGAACGTCCTTCCCTTCGGCAGCATTGGGCGGCACCGATTCAATAGTGACTTGGGCAGTGGTGGGAGGGTTCCAGAAGGTTAGGAGTGAGACTAGGAGGGAAGAGAGAAGACCTGGATCAATATTTGGCCTATGTATTGGGACGGAAAGATGTGGCCCTGGAGACTGAGCAGGTCCTAATCGCTCAGCCTTGGGCCCAGGGGTGAGCGTGTGTGTGTGTGTGTGTGTGTGTGTGTGTGTGTGTGTGTG